AAAACCTGTGATAAACTGGGATAGTATGCACACATTTAAAGCAAAACCTAGGCTATTTTGTTGCCAGATTTAGGATGAAGTAGGAATTTTCCTTCTGTTCAAAGTATCAGAAATATTGGATGTTTTGTAGTGTAGATTTTATCAAAAAAACTTGCTGTGAACTGCTGATGTATTTCTTAGGAATACAGATCTCTAAGATGCTGGTGGAGCCTTTTTTTATTATATAGTTTTCACTTCTGGAACTAAGATATTCTATTCGTTATACAGACAGGGAAAGCATAATGGATGCTCTTTTCAACCTTCCTGGATTTAGCAGGAAATATGTGATTGTCAGTGATTCCTGAAGTGTGTATTCAACATTCCAGAGAGTCCTTTCTTATCCAAAGTTCATATCTTCTCCCCATCCATTTCCATTCTCGTTTCCTGAATTACTGTTTCCTGTTCAAGGTTTCTTTTGTACCAGCTGCTTCCAAACAATCTGACCGTTTAGTTGTACCATTTCTTGTTCTTCTAATCTCTCATGTCAGGCTATCTTCCTCTTGCTAGTAATTTATGACACTTAGGGATACCAAAAGAGAGGGATGTTACACTGTTATTTGCTTGGCCATCACAATCTGTGGTGTTTTCTTACCTTTATCTCGCATCTGTGATGAGATACTGGGATAAGTTAATTGGCTAATGGGATTACTGATACTCCATTTTCTGTTATATTTCTGTATTATTCTTGGTGTTGATGAAACACAAGCTGGGCAATGATTTTTTTATGCCACTAAAAATATTAATAACTATGAATTTTTGAATTCAGCAACAGCCAAGTTACTAAAACTGAAGAGAGCTATCCAAACCTAGAACAGGTAGAAAGGAGATGCGATAGATGGCAGAAAGGAAAATACTGGTTCCTTACACACCATTATCTACATGTAAGAGGCCAAGTTAGCTAATATGAGCGTGTTTTGACTTGCACAGGCAGTCTGCATCGGCTTTCACCACACAGACTTAGCAGACAGTACATTAAGTTAATCATAGAATTATAAAATGGTTTGATTTCGAAGGCACCTTAGAAATCATCTAGTTCCAACTCCCCTGCAACAGGCAGGGACACCTTCCACTAGAAAATTTTAATATTTAATGTTAAGCAGTAAGAAGAAAGGCTGGGAAAACACAGAGAGGGCTCATGGGAGTGAAACCTACTCAAAACGTGGTGATCCTACCTGCCAGGACAGCAATAGTCTTGCTGAACTAGATCTCAGTACCTACGATATATCTGATCAGTTCTCCAAGGTATCTCCAAGACAACTCCAAGACAGACGTGAACCAATAGCAGGAGTGGATGTTACTGATCAGCTGATACTCTGGGATGGGGTCTAGGGTGGTCATACTGAAGGCAGTCCATGTTCTGAGGAGCAAAAGAGATGGTCAGCTCTGCATGTCCCAGGCCCATTTGTATTGTTCATCCCTGCGAAGCAATTGGCAGAACCTTTCCTTGGCAGGTGAGACAGAGCAACTTCAGAAAGTAAAGCCTGTGAAGTCTGCTGAAGCAAGTCTAAGTCAGACTTGCTACTAGCTGGGAGTTGTTCACCATAGTATTTAAATATAATTCCTACATCTTTGTAACTTTTTTCATAAGTATTGAAAATTTGTTCTACTTCATTTCAGCATAATATGATAGAGATCTTCTCTAGTAATAATCCTGCTCCCTGCCTAATGCTGCTAGAGTCATCAGGTGTGCTATTCCTATGGAACATTTACTCCAAATATGAGTTAGAAAAGCATATTTTAGCATGTCTTCTTGCATAATGCAAGTTGCAGGGATTCCTCAAGTTGAGACAGAATGTTTACCTCACTGATGTCTTTGGAAAGTGACACTGCAGGCAACACACTTCTCACGTGCAATAACCTTTGGTAGGTTCAGGGAAAAGATGCTATGATGAGATTCTCCTTCTGGTACATTTCTTTCCAAATAACTACATATGGGGCTTCTTTGAGCCCTGAAGATACGCTATGGATAGTGCAAACATTGCAAGGTTTAACTGAAGAGCTCCAGAAAGTAACAGAACAGTGTCCACAAAAGCTTTATGAAGCCTGTTCTCAGGGATGCAGGGCTATCACAAAAACAGGAGAAAACTCTTAATTACCGTTGGTCGGTTGCTAACTATTTCTACACAGGAAAGTGATAAATGGAAATGTAATAATGGAGTTCTGCATCACCACTGAGGAGGCAGTATTGCTATGTATGATATTGCCGGTCCTCAGGAACTCACCACTAGCTTTACACACACAGTGTTTAGTTACTGGAGGGATCCAATATTCTTTTTGTTTTTGGTGTCCTCTGATTTAAGTCTCAAACTTCATGAACAGAAAGGAGTATTTTTCCACTGTGTTCCAAGCATGCCTGACCACATCTCATGAAGTTCATGTATGCCCAAGCAGTTTTACCTGGAGTAATTCACAGTTCCAGATACCAGAATTTTCAAAAACTCCCACCTGTTCCTTGCTCTTAACTCATCACCGTATGTAGTCTTCTAAAGAGACTCTGCACTACTTCAGCAGCTGAATTGGCTTCTGGGCAATGCTAGCATGAAGAAGCTGCAACAGCTGGATATCACCGTTCTCCTTTCCACCCTGCAACAGCGTGCTAAGGCTGCTTTAATGCTTATACTAAAAATGCAATACTAAAAAGTCGGTCAGACTTTTAAATTTGCACTGTGCTTTTGTATATTTCTGAGGTAAAATAATCACCAAGGATGTGTTTATGTCATGTGCAATTTAGTCAAAAATTGCTGCCCACAGCTACAATGGAAAAAAAGTGTTCACCTTGGAAGTATTACTAATTCTGGGACAGGGCACAGCACCTGCTGTTGCACTCAAACAACAGAATTTTAAATTGTAAAGATTACATTAATTACAAAAAAATTGGCATCTTGTTACATATTATTAGTGTTTACAATACTCTCGTATGGCTTTTCCAATCTTCCCTCCTTTTCCAATATGCAAGAACAAAGCACTCTTACCTAGCAAGCATTTCCTGCTACAGTGCTATATTCTTGAAACCACCCCCTGGAAGATCCCAGTACACAGGAGAATGTTTTGGTTTTTTTTTCAGGAGGCAGTACTTCACCATCGTTAAGGTCTGTCAATCTGTCACATGGGAAAACCAGAGCAGTCAGCAAACAAGCACCTACTGAGACCTGTGGCTAGCTTGAAAGCCCAGGATAATTTAAAAAAAAAAAAAAAAAAGGAGAGTTATGACATTATTTTCTATAGTTATTTACAATTAATTGAATACCTGCATGTTGAAGTGTAGGAGTTCAACATCAATTTCACTGACTGGCAATATTCTAAAACACAGTAAATGCTGCCATCTAATGGTATCTGAGCCATGAGCAAAAGCTGTTGGCTCATTCCAGATCCCATCAAACAGAACAGTTTCACCTCAAAAGCATCACTATTGCACCGTAGACACAGAAGCAACCCAAGGTGGACAGAAGTAGGTCTCAAGCAGACCCACCAAGTCTCTCTGCATCCCCCTGACCAGCGCTGCTGACATCGAGTGCAAACTTCTAAGCTATACTAGGAGGTCTGCAGACCTTCTTTGTCAACTTTTTTTTTTAACACAAGCTGGTTCTGGAAGTAATAAAGCTAGTTCAAACCACACTGTATCTGAACTCTTTAACTCTCGGCTTTCGTGCCTCTTTATTTCACCTACCAACAGCCTAGATTTGATTAAATCTGAGATATTTTAATTGCATTTAACAAGGGAAATGACAGTAAGAACTGAGTAATTACGTGATTGTTCCTGATAACCTTGGCCTGAAAATGCTAAAATATTTTCTGATTCCCTGTAAAAAGTAAAATATTTTCAATTTTCTTGTGCTAATAGGTCGCTTTTTTGGTAAATTATAACACTGTGGTTCTATCCCTCTAATAACAGATTTTGTCTTGTAATAAACTGAAACTGAAGATATATCTTACAAAACAGACAAAAATGCATAAGCATCTGAACTCTTTATTGAAGAATCTAAAATAATCCTATTTCACTAGTAGTTCTGAGGCCACCATGACACTTCACCTGACCAATATAAACAGCAAAAAACCCAGTAAAAGTAATATTCATACACATTGTTCATACACCTTTTTTTTCAGAGCAAATGAAATAAATACTTCCTCTAACTTTAATAAATGTTGTCTCGTAAGATATACCACAAACTCCTTTTCAGATTACTAATTAATATTTTCTACGACATTTGGATGAATTAGAGTGGTGAAATTTTATGTACAATAGTTCTTAAGATTTTCTGGGAACACCACCTCTTGAATAACATCCTTTAATTTTGGTAACTATTATTATCACAACATTCATACAGTGAATGTTACAAAGAACAAATTACATACAACTTTCAAGCACAGTTAACTGAGGATGATATGTTAAATCCATTTAGGTGCATGTGTAAAAATTCTTAAGCATAAATAAATCCATGCAAAGGCACTAGGAGGAAGATGGTCCCAAACAACATAGAAATTAGTGGCTGATTATATTCAAGTGTCTTGTGAGAGTTCTTTTGAAGAAAACATAGTAATTATTTAATTTTGCTACAATGACCAATTTTTCAAACTAGGCTTTATCTGTAAAGAGATATACATTATTCTACAGCCTTGTGTGCTTATAAATCATATTACAGTTACAACTGATCTTTTACAGATTTCTCTTGTAAACACAGAAATATGTAGTAATACAAAAAATGACAGGTGTAAAAATTAACTCACCTATTCCAGTAGCTGAAGAAAAAAATTCCATTGTTTGATTTTTCTCTAATATTTATGATATAGTTGTTCAAACCTTAATTCCTTTAAGGAGGATTTGCAAAACTGAACAATCACAATATTTAAAGGCTGTCATCTTTATTCTGAATTTAGAGTATTGTTCTCTGGGATCAAAGTATTTTTTCATCTGAAAATAACTAATATTGGTTTAATCAAAAATGCTGCAGCCTGGGGCAACCTTATGTGTCCACGTTATCGCTCTCTGCTTCAGTAATACCATCATAAAATAAAGGGAGAGATATGGAAGATATAGTCCGTGATTTATCTAGCTTCCTACCATCATTTTCATTAAGCACTGATGCAATAAGACTTTCCTTCTCATGTGTTTCTTCTTGTAAGACAGCGCTGCTATAATGTTTATGATGGTGTAAGAAAGATTTATTTTTAAAAGAACGCTGCATCAAATACCTCCTGAAGGCCCTTTGAATAATAAGAGCTGATACCTCCTCTTGTTTTCTTTTAAGGGTAGTAGTAATTGGCCTGTAAGAAACTTTAGATGGATTGGCAGCTACAAATTTTTCTTCCATGTGTAATTCAAGACCACCCATATCCCCAGATTCTCCTAAAACCCTTTTAGTGAAAGCAAGCAAGATATCCAAGCAGTGGATCTTATCTCCAGTAACTATAGGGAGGTCCATCGATATGAGCTGAATTTTATTAGGCTTTGGAATACGTAAAGGTTCTGCCAGAGCATCTGCAAAGTCTGAAAGTGCAGAATATTCAATAAACTGTGTTGCCTGAGGATCAAAAATTGACCAGGTCTCATAAAACATATCAAAGTCATCCTCAGAAAGAGGATCTGTGCTTTCTTCAGTGGCAACACTGAAGTTCTCTAAAATGACAGCTATGTACATATTTACAACAATGAGAAATGATATAATGACATAGCTTACAAAAAATAAAATACCAACCTCCTTATTTGTGCAATTTTTTTTCTGTTCATCTGTTAAATTTAAGTTGGGAGCACATGAATCAGCTCCTTTTAACAGAGGGACCAAAAGCCCATCCCACCCAGCTGATGTTGTGATTTGGAAGAGACAGAGCATGCTACTATCAAATGTTTGAAAGTTGAAAAGGTTATCAATCCCGCCTTCCCAGCCAACACAGGCAAAGTTTGTCATGCCCACAATGGCATAAATGAACATAACCAGAAAAAGCAAAAGACCAATGTTAAACAGTGCAGGAAGAGACATCAGTAAAGCAAAAAGAAGAGTTCGAATTCCTCTAGCTCTCCGAATTAATCTCAGGATTCGGCCAATTCGTGCCAAACGAAAAATTCTCAAAAGTGTAGGAGAGAACAAAGTTCGAAAGCCTTCAGCAAGTCCATTACCTTTTAAATAAAAAAGAAAACAAAATGTTGTCAAGACATATTAGTGAAATTCCCTATTTATGTCCATTTTGTTATATTCTATGCTCCCGGTGTAGAACGGAACATTGATCAAGTTACATCACTTACGACAAAAACATTATCATTAATACTGCAATTGCTTACAAAAGAGCTTATGAAAAGAAAGATAAATAGTAATACTTTTAAATATTAAAGAGGTTTCAAGATTATGTGTAGTTTGGAAACTGCATTCTCCCAGATTTCTCTAATTCAGGGGATGAAATTACACGTTGCTCAAGTACTTAAAAAATCCTTTTAAATCCATTCAGCTCCTGTGCTGGAAGCTACGGGGCTTGTCTCCTAGCTGCTGTCTGATTGCTGTTTCTTCTACACACCTAAGCCACATGCTGAATGTGAGACTTTCATTAATGCTTGGTACTTGAATGAGATCAGAGAAGAGCAATAAGAAAATAAAGGCAATTGATCTTCCAGTATTCATCCTCCATCACACTTTATTCTATAATCCTATCAGAAAAATGAGTACCTTCAGTGATACAGCAGCAATGTAAATGACTAAAACCAGAAGACTTAAGAAGTCAGAATTTTTTTGGGTTGCGTGGGACACCAAAGGTTACTGCGCTTCGGGATGAAGCAGAGAACGCAGATAAGTTTTTCTTTCCCATCCTTCATTCTATGATATAACCTGAACCTGAGTAGGAAGCACAGTCCAAACAAACTGTACAAGAAACTAAAGCTATGTATGACCCTTTGTAGAGGAAACAATTAGCAACCATTTGTCTGAAAAGCAGAAGAAAACCAAGCCAGCTTTAATAACAATTTTCACAGTCATCAGGAGTGGCCCAGATTTAGAATGGTGCTGAGCAATTAAATTTTCCTGAGCTTTCTAAATCAGCCCTCAGGAACTGCCTTCTTGAAAGAAAGTCCTGGAAAATGAAATAAATCTTTCCCTTTTTTCATACAAATGTATTTTCAACCTGAATTTACTTTTACTGTGAAAACAACAGTTAACGTGATTACATGCAAAATGAAAGCATAAAAACACTTAACAGTTTAATAGCTTAGAAAATGTTACTGCATTAAATTCCTATTCTGTTAATCACTCAATAAAACTCATATTTAAGAAAAACCAAACTATCCATTTACCTTTTAGTCCTCTACAAAAACATAAGCAAAACATATACACATCCATTCAGAAGGAATCACTTCGCGTAGTTTGAAAAAGTACAATGGATCTGAATTTTGTTTGTCAGATATAAGTAAGCGGTTACTCCATCCTGAAATTTGGCTTAGTTTTGGTAAGACACGTTACCTGATCTAGTAATGATTGATACTTACTAATGAGTGAAAGGATCACAACAGCTAAATCAAATATGTTCCAGCCACTGGTGAAGAAGTACTGTCTTAGGGCTATTATTTTTATCACACATTCCAGAGTAAATACCGCCACAAAAAAAAAGTTGATTTTGTTAAGAACATCCTTGCCATTCTGGTTATTTTCTGCCATCATAATGACCATATTCAGACAGATGAAAGTCACAACAGTGATGTCAAATGCTTTGTGCGATACTATATCAAACAGAAATCCTTGGAACACATTCTGGGGAGAGAATGAGAAGAACTGCTTAACGCTACTTTTAAGACCAAGGCTGCATTCAAATATTAAGCAGTAATTTGTGTGTAGCAAGAGAATTTAAGAGAATATAAATTTAACAGTAAGTTACTAGAAGCATTTTTAGGTGATTTCTTTAGATGTTCAAAGAAAACAGTATGTGGCTAAGTATCTTCATGTATCATGCAACAACATTTCATTAGAAAAAAAATATACAGCAGGATAACATTCAGAGTACATTGTGATTGTTCTTTTAATAGAAATATTTATTGGAGCAGGATAAGCAATTCTAATTAAAACGATATAGGCAAGAAAAACTCTGAATAGTTACTGTGTGAAGCAAGGCCTGGAATGAAATTTAACAAACTATTAGAAATAAAGCATAGGATTATTTAAAAGTAAATAATGGCCACAGGGCATGTACTGTGCACTATTCATTCTCACGTGCAGTAATCTAATCTAGTTGCAGAAGGAAAATAATGCAATTTAAGTAACCAAGATGGTTATGAGCAAATACTTAATATGAGACTTTGTAAACAGGTTGTTAATTTGAACAGGTGATAAATAGGCTGAAAATTTCCTTAAATTAATACCCATAAAGAAAGACGGCATTAGAAGGAATTAAGACAGTAAAATGTAAACGCTATATTGAATGAAGAAGATAATGAGCTCTAATGTGAAGTTATCTTCCATCAGATTCTACTTAAGATAGTCTCACCAATGGTCTTGGGATGGGTTTTTGAGGTTTCTTGGATCCAAGTTTTTTCAGAGCATTATAGTACTTTTTCTGTTCCTCAGTTAAAAATAGATCTTTTCCACCTAAGTAAAGGAACAGACTACTGTCATTCAGCTGAAGTTTAAGAAGTCAACTAGATAAACAACTAGATAAACACCTGCAAGACGATGTAAAAAAAAAAAAAAGTAAGTTCCAGCTGTCATGAGTGGGATCTAAAAGAGCATAGACACTAAATGTGTCTTCACCATTTCTCCTTTCCCCCTTGCTCTTTGAAAAGATGCACTGCAAAAAGCTGATCAGTGTTTGATTGTGAAAGTCTAGTCTAGGCAGTGTTCTGGAGTCAGCTTCCTCAACTGTGAGAGACTTTCTGAAGTTTTAGAAATCTATTTCATATTTTTAAAATGACGTAAGACTCATCAACAAGTAATATACTTTCCATATATATTTTTGGGAAAGATGCATGTTGCCGTCTACACCACTGGTATTACTTAGCAATCACCTTGAACCAAGTATTCAGGAGAAGCCACTCATCATAAAAGCATTGAATGATTAGCAATTTGTAAACCAAACATGTAACAATGTTCAGTAGGTACTTGCACTTTGAATCACTCTGGCAAGACCTCTGAAAATGCAATTTAACCTCACTATATGGAATCTCAATGAAAATCCCCAAGCAGCAGCAAAGAAATGAAAAAGAAAAAAATGCACACTTGGAGCATGTACTGAGAAAAGAAAAAAATGTTACATCCACATCAACTTTCAGTAAGTGTTCAGGCTCATAAGCTACTTAACCAGCACTGTTTCTGTCTGTTGGGATTATTAGAACTGGAACTTTATTATAAAAGGAAATTATTATAGTGAAGTTGGACTGTTGCTCCTCAACCCCTAGATATCCTTTCTCTGTTCAAATGCAGAGAGCAGAAGAATTTCTGTCCTTGTTGCTATCTATCTCTACCAAGGGCAGTTATTCTTTGACACTTGGTGTATAAAGTCAGCCCATGGAAATAATACATAGCTCCTGTAGAGATTCTGTCTTCCAAATGTGAACCTTGAAATTGTAAACCTCCTGTTGGTGTCTGCTTTTTTGTCGTATTTTTTTAATGAGCAAGATGCTTATTTGTTTTAAGACTTCCATGTGGATTGACTCATTTTTCCCTGACATTCTCGACACTTTGAGCTCCTAAATGAATCAGGGAAAGAACTCGATTGACAAATAAGCTTGGCACAAAGAAGTTGAAGTATACCAAGGAAGGCTGACCGTTACTTTTCTTTGGTTGTTGCATTTTCCATTCTAAGGTTTTGCCTTTCATTTCTTACTGAATAAAAAAAACTGGGAATCTAACTACGAGGAATCTAACTCTGAGGAGAAAAGTGGAAGCAGTCAGTTCTTCATGGGCCTTAAGAAGCCTTTAAATTTCCAGACAGCCTCTTCCTGGGGCCATGGGCTTGGATCTCAATGAAGAGACTTTTTAAAACCCCAGTAAATTAATCTGTAGAGTTACTTTACTGAAGACGGGATAATTTTAAATGCAGCTAGTTTCAGAAGAAGTTCTGATTCCAAGACCTTTTCAAGTTTCTTTACCAGGAAAGCAGGAGTTATTTCTCCCATGAGCAGTAGTGTTTCTTGATTATCCTTGGGTGTTTACTCTCAGCAAAAAACATCATTCTGTTCTCCAAAGTAAATTTTCAAAGCAGAAGAAAAAAATTCCACTCTCCTGCAGCAAAGTTTATATAACTTTTTTTTTGGCTTCTCTTTTCTAAAACTACGTACTCTTTCCTCCTTGTCCTCCTATTTAAAACAAACTAAGGGCTTGGCATGAATATATAATTTGCACATAAATTACCAAAAGCTTTGAGGAAAAGGGGACTCCTATTTTCAAAACTTGGTATCAAATATTATTTTAAATTTCTCCAGTCAAATAGTTACCTGAAAATGTTAGACAACTAGATGTCACACTGGCATTCACTTAATCAAATTGGGATTACAAGAGACTCTGAATTAACTTATGTAGAACTTATCTTTTTCCTTTGTTGGTTAAAATTGCTGATAACCACTCCAATGAAAAGGTTCAGCATGAAGAAAGATCCAAAAATAATGAAAATCACAAAATACATATACATGGCTAAGAATGCTTCAAATTTCGGCTGTTCATCTATCTGTTAAAAAAAATCAGAACAGAAAAATAATATGGGTAAAAATCAGATAATCAGAGATTTATCATTTCCAATTTATAATAACAGATCTTTTTACTGTCAGGAAGGATAAATTATTTCTACACATTTAAGCCTTTATTCAGATGTACAAGTAGAGCAACTGTCTTGTTCCTGTTTGTAAAGATAATTGCAAAGATATATACCTAAATCCAGCTCTAGCAAATTCTTAAGTATTAGATAAACAGTTCCAAACAGAAGTGATACTGTGAATGCCTAGATTAGAAATAAAAGAGCTCAGAATAAACATAACAGTGAACTGCCATCCCCTTGGATGCTATCCCAGACAAGAAGCAGCTTTAAAAGGTCAGCTCACTATGATTGGCGCTACAAGGAACGATCTTTTTAACTAGGAGTTATTTCACTACATTCAAGAGTACAATGCTTGAATGAATAAGGTAAATTCAAATTAAATTAAACACCCTGTATATGAGTGAAAGAGCAAAAAACACCATATGGAAATGTGGAAGAAATACTAAGGATGTCAAATATAGGGAAGAAAACTTCCAGAAATAACTGCTAAAGATGCATGCAGTTTTCATGCTCCTGTACACTTTTTAAAAAGAAGGAAATTTTTTTCAGAGGCACAGTCCCTCTGAGACCTTCTCAACTCTGTTCCCAAAACAGACTTGTCCAAAACTCGCAACATCTTGCCCTCTGCATTCTTAAAATTGTAGGTTTTTGTGTGGTGTCACTCTATTTTGACCAGTTTTCTTTTGTCTAAGTAGCAGATATTTGGTACTCCAAGGATTACTGTTTCACTGTGTAGTTTGAAGCATTCATCCATTTGAATTTCTGACTTGATACTGCACACAAAGCTGATAAATTAATTGCATGGATAGAAAAGCAAAGAAGAAAAGGGAAAAAAAAAAACCCTAACATTTCAGTTTAGTGACGTACCTCACGTGAATCCACTGCTGCATACATAATATCCATCCAACCCTTAAAAGTTGCCTGAAAAAAATGCATTATTAAGGTTGTTATCACTAAAATGAATTAAAAAGTTAGGTAAAGCTAATATAAATTTGTTAAGAATTGCAGAAAAGTAAGCAGTATGCTATAAGAAATATGCATCACTTCCAAAGATCTGCTTGGAAGTGTGATTCACTGGAGCTTAGTTAAGAAAAAAAAAAAAATCCTGAAGAGAAAAAAAAAAATTACAATGAATCCTGTGAAATGTGTTTTAATATTAACTCTCGTTAAACTGAAATTTTCATAAATTCTCTGCTTTTTGGAAAAGCAGTAAAAGTTTCAGCTGAATTAGCAAATATATCCTAAAAGGATAAAAACAATTTCTAAAAAACCAGCAAACTATTCCTTCCTGCAATTTTTAGCAATTCTGCAGAATCATAGAATACTCTGGAGAATACAGGGCAAAGAACTTCATCTAGAAAAGATACAGGGATATCAGTCACTTTTAAAAATGCCTTTCTCCCCTTTGTTGTGGTATTAGGGAGATCAATAATTTAGCATCCCAGTAGTTCATGACTTAGATAATAAAAGAAAACACAGAAATATAAATAAACTGCATTGTGCTTTTTTTTCTCATCCACTCTGAACTAAATTTTACTAAATAAAATAAGAATAACTTTAAATGCAGTAACATGCACACTATTTCAGGCTTAGTACGTCAATCAAAATTAAAACAAAATTGAAAAGCCATGAAACACAATACTTGATTTTAACACAAGGTTGCATATGCTAAAGTGTTCTTTAAGAGGAACTGAGCAGCTTATAGATAAGAAAAATATTTATGGAAGCTAAAAAATTCCCCAATTTCAATGAGATAAATAGAAGTGTAGTGGTGTCCTATGGTTAGGCTGTTCAACATGTTTCCCTCAAGAAAACAAAACCGAGAATGTTTTTATAGAACTTACCACTTGGAGAAGAGCCAGGTATCCGATCCCAACATTATCAAAGTTTACAAGACTATTTGTCCATGTTCCATTATAGTAAGCACAATCTTTTCTATTATTAATTTCACTGTCATTTATTTTCTCGAGTGTGCATTTCCAAAATTTTTGTCCAAGTAATTTTACTCCTACAATGTTAAATAGGAGCCAGAAGACAACACAGACGAGCAAAACATTCAAGATTGAGGGGATAGCTCCCAAGAGTGCATTCACGACAACCTTAAATGAATTAAAAGAAAGAATTCACATTCAATAGAACACCTTCCCAGAAAAACACCTATTTTTTTTCTTCTTCTATATCTGTTGCAGATTCTCACCCATATAAAAACTACTAGATGACTAATTTAAAGCTAGCCTTCAGCCCAAATTCAAGCTTGTTTTATCATGTAATTCTGTGGTATCTATCTTGCATTTTTGAGGAAGGAAGTAAAAGAGATGGCAAGAAGAATTATCCTTGGGTAAAAGAAACACATAAAATAAGATTATGAGTCTATAGTAGCTATGGGATCTAAAAATCAGGCATAGGGGAACGGGTTATATGATCTGCATTTACTACAACGTCATAAATAACCCTCTCTTTTATCTTGGAGGGGTTTTGTAAGAAAACAACATCTTGCTCTCCATAACAAAATGAACCTCACACAATAGTCACTGGCACCTGACTGCACACAGTACATAAAGTAGAGAAGTTTGGCTTCCAGAAGACTTAAGTTGTTTTGGTTGGCAGTCTTCCTTCATTTAGACTTGCTTGAGGACAAGGTGAATGCAAAACCACGATGAGCAGTAAGCCTCTTCCAGAAATGGTACCAGTGGAAATGGGATTCCACCTTTTGGTGTTTGTGTTGGTGACATCAAGAGACCTCACACAAGCAGTGTTAAGAACTCGTATTTTCAAATCCATCACATGGCAGTCAGGACAAGCCTTTTTCTCAGTGGGAATTTGAGGACTATTACTTACTTCTTTTCACCATTTTTCACCATTCTCTGGTGGGGCATAGTGAAAATCTCTCTGGAAATGTTTCATTGCTATCATTATGGAAAAACACTCAGCCTTTTACCCTGGCCTTGGATAATACCCGTATACTAGAAACACACAGAATGAAGAACACTGGAAGGGATGTCTGAAGATCAGCTGTTCCAACGCAGACCAAGTTGCTCGGTGTCTTGTCCAGTCAAGTTCTGAATTTTACCAAGGGTGGACATTCAACAACCTCTCGGGACAATCTATTGCAATGTTATACACCCACACCATCATCTTTTTTCTCAGGTAGCTAACTGGAATATCCCTGACAGCCAACTCTAATTTTCTCACTACGAGCCTACCAGAAAACATTAGTTTCATGCTGGCTGTTTCTAACTGATTCCTCTTGTCCCTCATGGCTTCCAGGAGGATTTGCTCCATATCCATCGCGGGGCCTGAAGTTAGTGTCTCATCACATTCTGTGATCTAACACAGGTCAGATGATTTGCATTATATGATTTTTTACGTCTCCCTACTGACTTTAAAGATTCCAGATAGTTCATTCAGAGCAGCTTTTAAAATTGAGTTAGATGAATTCCCTCTCCTATTAAGAAAATCCCACCCTATTTAAGTTTGAAAAGATTGTTATCTTTCAGATCCACCCTGGAGAATTCTGAAATGTGGCACATGAGCCTGTCTCTATAACTGTCAAGATGAGCTGGTATTAGCACAGCAGTCTAAAGAAGAGGAATTATGAAAAGGAGTTACAAAAAGTGAATAGTCTCCACTGAAGCAATGAATTAACAAATATATTTTTCCAGGTCCCAATTTCTTGGATCAGGCAATGAGAATAAATTAAGAAAGAACTGTGGTCACTATGCTTCTTATGTCCCAGAGAGCAATAAACTACGTCTTTCACAGTACAGGTTCCTTCCCCACATTACAGTTTGTTTTCTGTAATAACTACATATATATCTTCTTTTCTATTGACAAGTAACTAAAAATGGTTCCTATTTTTTCAAGTGTGTTCATTTTTTTTTCAGAAGAATTTGCCAAATACACTGGATGAAATTTCTAAATGTCTAAGACAAACAAAAAAATGGGTTTCAGAAAAGTACAAGTTGAAAAAAATTCTTGTTTAGTTTAGTTCTCCAAATTGCATTGAACATGGAAATATATTCCAGTGTTCACATTACTATATGTAATAATTCCTTGTGGTAGCACACTATAACTAAATTTCCTTATTTCATTTGTATTTATAAATTTCTGTGAAAGTGTTAGGCATTACTTCAAAATAACAACTGTAAGACGTAAGTACGTAATCAGACCCATCTTAATGCCATCAAGTCCCAAAACAGTGATTCAGGTTGCAATTTTCACTAAAATTTCAAATGCAGCTATTACAAAATATGCACACACATCCCCAAAATCCTTACCTTTATTCCTTCAAATCTTGACAAAGCTCGTAGAGGCCTCAATGCTCTAAGAGTCCTAAGAGATTTCAGGGCACTCCCAGAGGAACAAAGCGATGTGGCTTCGGAAACATTGTTTAGTCCCCAGGAAACAAATGACAGCTGTGTTCATTGAATTGAAACTGAGATTATTAAATGGTACATAAAAATTTGTGTCAGCAGACAACCATAGGCTGAATGTTACAGCATCTTTGACCAGTAAGACAAATGAAGAAAATACACATTGAAAATTATTGTAATATAATTTTACTTCACTGTTTCCTAATATTTTTCAGATAATGGAATTCTTTCATTCTAATTTGAAACCATTTTGTCTTAAAAAAAAAAAAAAAAAAAAAAAAAAGTTCATACAATATTTTAGAATGCTAGTATAACAACCAAATTGGTAACTATGTTAATTTCATAACACTACAAGACCAGAAAGGATTCTTCAAATAAATTATTCCAATTTTCTGTATGGTCATTCTCAGAAGTGTATACAGTAATTCTGTATCATAACCTAAGTCAGTGATTTGGAAACAAAAATTATTTTTAAAACTATATCCAGTCTTCATTTTAAATTTTCATAAGAGAGAAAATAAATGGGAAACATCAGTTGTTTCAATAATTGTGGGGTTTTTTCACTGTTCATGATTTGCCTCTTCCTGTTTGAATCTGTAGTCTCATTGTCTAGCCACTGGATATTCTCACACTTTTCCTCTGTTTCAGACAGCATTGCTATTAATATTACAGAGCTGTAATTGCTAAAGTTACACTATAGATTCTTTGTAAATAGTTATAATATTAGATTGTTCTGTTGAAATTTCCTAACACTTCACAACTTTCCATGTTAACTATTCAGGGGCTATCAAACAGCTACTTTGATGCTACTGGAAGCCAGCTGTTTAGATGTCCTTATTTTAAAATATTTAACTGCAGTATCTTCCCAGTGTATTGCTGACAAGCAAAAATATTTCATACTTACATGCAAAGTTTATATTAACTCTGTCTGAATTCAGAATAAATATGCATATATTGAACACTGCACCTCCTCCAGTGCACACTCCTCAATGACAGTGATAAATAATGAAATTTGCTTAAGCAACTTCCGATTATTAGCTACAATTTCCATTTAAATTTGTCCTAAAGGCTCTTCTGACTGCAATTTTTTTGTCAGGCTTTGAAAACTGCCTTTTACACTTGTGTTTATTCATACTCAAATTTTACATGTAGTTCTCTATATAGAAAATATCCAAATTTAAAATGTAAGACAAGCTGAATATATTACTTACACACACAATGATGAAGTCAAGCCAACACCAGGCATTTGTGAAATAACTGTGCAAACCATAAGCTACCCATTTCAGAAGCATCTCCATAAAAAAGATGTAGGTAAATATTTTATCAGCATACTCTAGGATCATTTTCACTATTTTTCTCTCCTGAAGGTGAATATCTTCAAATGCCTGGAATTTCAGAATTCAGTTTTAAAACAGTTCAGTAGTTTCATGGAAAATTATTTTAAAATTGCACAATACAGAATTTGTCTGAGTATAACCATTTCATATGAAATCATGGGCAACCACCACTTAGTTTTATACTTAGAAGTAAAAACTTAAATTGTAAAGTAAGTACATTCTCATATCAAGTTGGTTGAAAAATCCCATATTTTCAGCTGTGTACACTTCTTCAAAGAATATCTGATGAGTGTCAATTGTAGCTACCAAAAATCTTGGCTTCCCAAGTTAGTGGATATTTTGAAGGTATGGGTCTAAAATTCTTCATAATAAAGCTTGAATTAAACACATTATCCACTGTCTTTCTTATTTCTTGCCATGAGATAAGTAAAAAAGTTGTAATGAGAAGTTTAAGAATGTGTCCTCTCAAGAGGAATACACCAACTCATGTCCTCAGGATGCTGGAACACAAAATCTTTATTTTACAGAAGAGTAAATGAAGCATAGAGAGACCAACTCATTTGCCCAAAGCCACATGGCTGTAGTCTGTGACAAAGATCGGGAACCAAACAGAGGGTGTCAATCCATATCCAGTTTCAATCTATACCAGCTCTTCACTTAACAGCTACTTGCCTGACCGTGAAATCTCTTATCCTGCTATTATTTTTTAATAAGTTAATTAACAGTCAATACCCTCTAAGGAAAAAGAATCCCAGGGAGTTCCCTTGGAGATTTTGCCACAGAAATTTTAAAGCAGAGAGTTCAAATCTATGGTTCAGTGCACAACCTAAACTTAATAAATACAAAACAGATTTTATTGGGAAAATTCTGACATCTAACATGTCATGTCAACTTTCACATTAGTTGATTATGTTCCTTCTGCAGTATATAATGTTTTCCTTAACAAATCACTTTCAGTAGACTTGGTGAATATGTTTCAAATCAAATCAAACTTCCCTTGTTCTTCAGGAGAAATTGATATAATCAGAGTAGCAATAAAACATTAAGTCATCTACCAGTTTACAGCCATCTTCACTTTTAGATTCTGATCATCTCAACGTTTGGATGATTTTAAATCTAAATTTTTACTGAACAGCTACTCTGCTTTACAAATTTAGAAGTACTTTTTTTTTTTTTTAAGCTTTCCTAGGTAATTTCAGACCCTGATTTAGCCTCCAAATTAAGTACACAAGTGTGTGAAGAACTATGTTTCATGAAGAACTATGAAGAAGACTATGATTCTATACCTTAAAATATCTTATCCAGGGACAGCCTTATAACTTCTAAGGGATATGTTTATTATACTCCTGTCTCTGCCTGGGGAAAGGAACATGAGAGTAGCAGAAATAAATATACTATTAGGATTCTTTTCCTTTACTAACAACCATCAATTCAAAATTTTATAAATTAAATTAAATTTACCAGTGCTGCGCTGCTCAATATTATAATAAAAATTATAAAACTTTCAAACCAGCTATGTTTAACAATTCTGTAGCAGGTTTTTCTAAATTTCCACCAAGTTCTGCCTGGAAACTTAGTGATATCCACTACACAACACGGGAAACATTCAACACAACCTGAAAAGAGAAATAAAAGCATATTGGTTCCATGGAAAACGTGGAGATATGGAATCTAAAAAGTGTAAGACATCTTAAAATAAGCTTCGACAGACTGTACAAAGAATGTGCTGTTTCACCTATGGGGCGATGCTGTGGCTGAAACGCTCTAAAACTACAGAAAATAAAATTTGTAGGCTGAAATAATGTCCTTTAACAGAGCAACTCATAGCATTTTGCTGCCCAAACACAAGGGTTTAGAACCATTTTAGGCTGATTCTACAGCTTCTGTGACAGTTCTGCCAAGCTTCGTGCAGTTGCCTTGCATACTCTCAAGCATCTCATATGGTACTAACTGCCTGTGTTCAGGCATCCCAACCCTGCTCCAGTTCTGTGCTGGCTTCAGGTATATTTATCCAAGTTTTTATGTCTATAAACATAAACAACGAAACAGTTTCTGCCAATTGGAAAAGTGTTCCAAACAGATATCTTTGAATACTGGCTCATTTGGTGTCACTGCAATACACAAAAGATTCTTACTTTCTGCAAAACAGTCCTTAGGTAGGTGTGACTTTTTAGGCTGAGAAAACAGAAGAATAACTGGATCCACAGTGCTGGCATCAGAATAACTACCAACATCACATTTCTGCACAGGAGAAGGGCAAAGAAGAGAATTTATTTGCTTGCCATAAATAAGGTTATCAGATTTAAAATTAATGAAACTTTTAAATTTTCCCCCCAAAAAATCTTGTGTATAAATTATCTTAATGTTGCTGAACTACCAAAATAAAATTACAAATAATAGAGACAGAAAAGGCTAATCCCTACTCTTTGTTTCCATGGCTTTAATTTAATAATTTTCTTGGTTTCTTCTAGTTCATCTACATAAGATTTGCAGGAAACAAAATGTTTAGAAGAGATTACATTATGCTACAACTTTACTTTAGAGAAAACTTCGATTTCTTCATGCTAATCCAATTCTCTTTTCATTTTCAGAGATAAAAACTATATCCCAAAAGGCTTGAAGATGGAAAGGCCTAGTGGGAAAGAAATGTACGTACGGTCTGCACATCTCAGAGTACTGCAGTTATCGATAAGTAACCTACACACCTACAAAACTAAAGACAATAAGGAAAACAAGTATAAAGAAAAAGGCATAAAGCAATCTATCAGCCAAAAAGTGTAAGTGCGTGCCCTGTATGACGTGGAAAGGGAAGGTATGAGGACAGGGCTAAGAATGAGAAGCCAGAAGGATGAACTGTGTCTGTTGACAGCCATGCAGTCCTACAGTAAATTAAGGTCTGAGGGAATCTACAACATAGCCAAAAATGCAATTATTTAAATTCATGGGCACTTTAATATTTTAATTTTTTTTTTTATGTAAATTCTGTTTAACAAACAAAACTTCTGGCAACTCTATCTAAAACCAGAAAATGCTAAAGTGGTTTGACTTTTGGAGGTAGTAATCCAGAAAGTTGCTGAACTTCCATTTAATTTTCTGGGTCATTGGAGGCAAGCTATGGTTCTTCAGCTTTTTTTTTTTTTGATGTGGAACTGTACTGTACTAGAATAAGCTAAGTTTCTAGACCAGAAAAAGTACGGCTGTTTTTGAAACTGTTTCTAGAGAACAAATTTTTTGCATCCAAGGATGACAGCAACAAGAATTATGTATAAAAATGAATAGTATGTATCAGATATGTTTAAAGAAAGTGATTAATTCCTGTTTACTTATTTTGTACAAAAAAAGTATATTAAGCTACACTACCAGCCATGGCTGTTTATGAGAGACAAACCTGCATGTTTAAAACTATTATTACCTCTAGAGAGATGTACCATCTTCACAGGGATTATACCTGCTACTCTTTGGAAAACCCCAGCTTGTTCTGTCATTGCTGAATGAGAGAACTGCTGTGACAATTTTAATCTCTAGCATATTCCACAACATGATAAAAACTATAATTACCTCTTTTTGCTCTTTCTTTTCATGTGTTTCTGAAAAACCACTTATAGTTTCAGAAGTCCCAGAAATCTGACTGAAGCCACTTGAACTCTGGCACTGCTCTCTACGTCTTAATCTGTCTCCCTGCATGAAATAATGCAAAACAGTTGATTTTGCACATTTATCTCCTAGACTCCTTAAATGTCAAAATTATTTAAAAGAATCTAAAGCATCCACAAAAATTTAGCATGTTTGTCTTTTTACAAATAATTAAATGATATTGCTAAAAAGCATGTAAAAGAAAGGTTTCTTCTTCAATTTCAAATACCGTGCTCCTGTGGTTATACTGTGGAAGTTTTTTTTCCTGCTCAGTGCCTTTTAAGATATCTAGGGATACCTAAGACATGCATATTTCTACATACTCCTGGCCTCCAGATGCCAGGAAGAATTTCTATAGCTCCTGTGTCTTATTTGCGTAGTCGACCAGTGGAGTTCTCTGTAGTTGGCGCGCGGAGGCCTTAGCAGTCATCACGTGAAGTTCTTGGACATCACCCAGACGAGCCAATTATGATGAAAGTGAAAGCCCCTTATTGTGTATTGCGCACATGCTTTTATACAGATCTCTTTCAGATTTGGCCACTACTGATTATATAAAATAATTTTAAATTCTTAACAACAAAATCACTATTGGCTACTTTTAATCCTGGGAACATAACCTTCGAAGCTATGTCAACACAACCTCTAAAATAACTCAGTTGTGCTAATTATTTTCTCTCGGTTTCTCCTTATCTTTCTCACGTCCTGTATAACTGGATGCCTCTGCAAATCTGGTTGCTTTTCTTCTTTCCCAGGATCCTTTATCAACCTTATAATTACGAAGCCTAAAGTTAGTATCATAGCTAAAATTCAACTTCAGCAGAAAGCGCCCCTACAATTTAGTCAGTCCCATGTGGATGTGACAGACACCTGAAGTATCTCAAATATCCCCAAATCTCTATGTACAGGCAAATTAATTGCAACATTTTTGACTATCATGGAGTGTAAATGCCTCACTCACATGCAGAAACCTATCTAGGTATCTGTATTTAAGTTCCTAAGGCTTGAGCTTAATCCTGCCCAACACAACAAAATCAGGAGATATAAAGAGGAGTCCAAAGTATCACAGAGGTGAATAGGGAATTAAAAAACATTAAGAAATTATTTTTTTAAAGTGAAGCTTTTATTTGCATTCTCTTTGGATTCCACGCAACCGAGAAGCAATAGATAAGCAACAGAAGAGGCCTGCCTTCCAAAAATTCCAGATGCCATCTGTAAGGCAAAGGAGACAAAAAGAAAGAATGTCCGCCTTGGTCAAACCTCACTTAGCAACTGCCAGCAATAAATGGAAGCAAAACAGGCAGAAGTAGAATTATGCTATCAATGAGGACAATGATGAAAAAGTAGTCAACATCTCTTAGTAAATAACCTAGATTATTTGGTAGCTCTTGCATTTTGAAGCTACTGGAAGAACAAAGAAAGTAAAATGGCAGAAATGACAGAAGGGATAACATCTACTGTTGAGTCTTCGAGTTTATATTCACAGATGCAAGTTACAATATTTTTTCCAATATTAATAGTTCTTACCTGTTTTCTGTATTCCGTTTCTGTGCATCCACTGTGCTCCTCATCACCTTCGTCGGTGTAAGTCTCTGCTACTGCAATTGGAACACAGGTACTATGACTGGCTGAAAATTCTTCATATTTCCTTGATATTGAGGAACTCTCTTCAATATCGTAATACCCAATGTCAAAGCAGTTGTTGTCTATACTATGTCTGACATCTGTCATGGTATAATTATTTTCCTCCAGGTCTTCAGTAGAAATTTTCACCGAAGTCATCTTTTTGGCTGTTGTTTTGATGCTTCGTGTCATTCTTTTGCCCCAATGATCCCAAATTCTGTCTTTTGCAGACTGCAGGCCCTTGTGAATCCGTTCAATGGCAATCTGACATTTAGTCATTTGTCCAGTTTCCTCTTGTCCCATTGAGGAGTCAGTACTGAACGAACTCAGCAGCAAGGCAATGAATAGGTTGAGCACCTTAAAACAGTTAAAGTAAGATGGAGACACTACTACTAACAGAAAAGACATTTCAGAAAACTCTCCTTACATAACAAAAAAATCTCAATCACATCAACCACTGCAATGAAATGATTTGTTATTATACCGGAAAATTAATATAGTATGATATGGCTTCTTCTGGAAGGAAAGGCAGGAGAAAAAGGAAGGAAGGGAGAATTGGGATATATCAAAAACATTTTCACATGCTCTAATGTCCGTAATGTACGAGGAGGTAGATATGTTGAAAAATAGCAGGCAAAGATAACTTTTAATAACACTACCACCAAAAAGGATCTGGTATAGACCAACAAACCAAGCAGATGAAAAAGATTTTGTCTTCCAGTATATGTACATTAGATCTAGTATACATCACACAAACCAGAAATTCTGGGTACTGTAAACTTTTGACAATATCAGGATAAGTTGGTATGCATTAAAAGCAATGAACAGTTTGGTTATTTATCCTAGCAACACAAAAGATGAAGAAATCAAACACCAAATTATCAAAATGGGAGACTGGAAAAGGGGAAACATAACCCC